TTGGCGCACTCTCGGTTATAGATGATATGCGAAAAAGGGGAAGAGAGAAGGGGAAAGGTTGAAGAAGATGGGTTAGGTGAAAATCATTTAAATGCTAAATGCTACCTTCACAAGAAGAACTGTTCACGATATCTGCAACAGAATGACCTCTAAATAACGCCAATCTTGCAAACAGGAAAAAAAAAAATGGAAAGCTAACCAAATTCACACCAATCAATTCCAAACAGGCAAACCCTTCAAGATTTTGATTGACTTAGGAGGCTCTGTTTTGTGCCCATGTCGGCACACACTCTTTTTTTTTTTTTTAAGGGCAATGGTTAGGGTTAATATGTTAGAAGAGGATATTAAACCTGAAACATGAGAGTAAAAACCATGAACTATCTTTTTAAGCACAATAAGTGGCTGCTAAACCACAGCACGTGGAATGTATGTCGGCACACTCTCGGTTGTAGATGATATGGGAAAAAAGGGGAGAGAGAAGGGTAAAGGTTGAAGAGGATGGGTTATGGGCATGTTTGTAATTTTAGTTTTATTATTAATCTATATATATGGGATATTCTAACCTGGCCCTTAAGGATTTTATTATTAGGGCACATGTAAAGTTTTATTTATTGTAATATTTGTAATTTATTTTATATAGATTTTCATATGAAATTTAAATATAATATAATATAATATTTTATCTTAAAATTTTAAAAAATTTTATGAATTTAATATAAAAATTTGTATGAAATTAATTAAAAATATAATTTTAATATTACCATTAAGGTATAAGTTAGATAAACTTTATATAAAATACTTCTTTATGCATTAAATAAGGTATATATTTATGTATAATATATAATATATAATATATAATAATATATAATATATTTTATTTATTATTTATTATATAATTATATAATACAAATAACAAATTAAGATTAATTAATTTTTCAACAATAACTAAAAATAATTTAGATGAATAGTATGTTAATTATTAATTATTAATATTAAAAAAATTGATTCATCCATTTGTAGATGAAGAGGCGAGACTATTTTGGCTTTTTTTTCTTTGGCAAGCATGTTAATTAGTAATTTAGTATACCTTATGCAATAATTAAGTTATGTATTTAATTATTTAAAAATTACATAATAAATTATTTGAAAATTAAAAATATATAGGGTGAATTTCATATTAATGAATAATTGAGAAGTTTCATTTTACCTTATAATACATTGAGTAGATATTAAACATTTTTTATTTTTATTTTTATTTTAAAAGAGAAATATACATTTTATTAAAAAATAAAAAATTACATTAAATACTAAATAGTATTTCTTCATGCCCTTCTTTTTTTCTATTCACCTATATATAAACCCTCACTTTTTTTACACCAATATATTATATTCTCCTCTTCATTTCTTCAATTTTTTTTAATTAATATGCTAAGTTCCAAATATTATTTTTCATTTTGTTTCCTATTTCATATTATCTCTAAACTATTTTCCTTATTAGTTTTATTATTTTTTATGATTTTTTTTATAGAAGATATGATGATTGTTTTGAAAGAATTTTGTTATTTTATCTATTTTAAATTTATTAATGGTTTGAATTTTTTTTTTTTGGATGTGTGGTAAGGACAACTTTATTCATGGGGTTGGAGTTCATCAAAGCAATAATAATATTGATTCATACACTGAACTGAACAATAAAAGTATGAATTCAATAAAAATCAATTTACATGAAAATATTGAATTTTTTTTGTAAGATATTATGTTTTTTTATTTTATTTATATTATACTATTATTAACTTTTTTGATTATTTTACATATAAATTCTACTTCACATCTCTTTTAAATTGTATATACATCTAATATTACTATCATATATATTTAAGAATATGCATTCAATTATACTAAAATCTCATTCAAATAACTTTCTTTTTGTAACTTTAATTTAAGCATTTATATTAACATATTAAAATAGTTTGTGATACAAGTTAAAGGAATAAAAGAGGAATGGAAAAAAATGATAGGAAATTAAAAATGAGAGAAGGGACAAGAAAAATAACCATAAAACAAAATTTTGCAAATTAAACAATTACGAAAGAAAGTGTTAGAAAAGACTAATGTAACCAAAAAAAGGAGAGAATTGTTAAATACTTTCCCTTATTTATAATATTTCATGTTGATCTTACATATTAAGAATATATATGGTTTAATTTTTTTTATTAAAATAATAGTTGATATTTTTTAACCTCAATTTTTAGGGATTACAAATTTGATTAAATAAGGATTAAAAATAACTAGGGAAGATGGAAAAAAAAATAAAAATATAAGGTAAAAATTATTTGATTATTAGATTAACAACTAATAAAATTTATATTAAAAAAATCAAAAGGCAAAATTTTTTTACTTTAACAGTCTATATCTATATCAATATCAATATCTATATATTACATAAAATGCTACACTTAAGTATTAATTAGGCACTGAAATATATTTTGTTAAAAGTTAAAAAGAAAATATAGTATTTTTACAATATAATGTAATAAATATATGTATTAATGATATTAGTTTTACCTTCTATCTTTTCATCTTCTTCTCTTCCTCTTCCACTTCCACTTCTTTTCTTAATATTCTCAATTATTTCATTATTATTAGCTTTTATTACATGTATAATGAATGAATTAAACTAAAAGAAGATGATTAGATACCTAATTTTTATACACTATTATAACACTATTATAACACTTTTATTCATTATTTATTTTTATCATTTTTAATTTTTTTCACCTCATGTACTTTTTTTCTTTTTGGTTGGAAAAAAATGTCCACAAGGAAGTAAGGTCTAAAAGAGCTTAATAGAGAAGAAGATTTTTGTATGAACTGTTTGATTTTATTTCATATAGAATTTTTTTTGTTTTATCAAAAATATATATATTTTTTTAAAATAATAGAATATGTATATATATTTGTTTTGAATGTAGATGTACAAAATAATATGATGATGATGATGTAAAATAAACCTTTTAATGAATAAATTAGAAGTATGAAAAATTTGAGAAATATATATATTAATTCATCGATCTTTATAAATGTCAAAATCAGTTAAATAAAATTTGATTTTTTTTTAAATTTATTTATTTTAGATTTCATATATATCCTTTATTTCTATTTTTCTTAACACAAATTTTAGAATTGCTATTTAATAACAACAACAACAACAACAACAACAATAAAAATTAATGTATAAATATGTACTAAAAACCATACATGTTAATGTATTAATATGTACTAAATTGTGTATAAATATTTTTTTTACAGCATGCTAACTAATTTCTCTTGGTATATGAAGAGTTAATGCCATTTAAATAGTGTTTTCCTTTGTATTACCTTGTGCATTAATTTCTCTTGGTAAATGAAGAGGTCAGACTGTTTAAAATATAAATTTACATAAAATAAAATAGAAAGTAAAAACCTATATGGCAAAGAGATTAGTTCACTGGATTTTTTTTTTTTTTTGTAGCATTCTAATTAATTTTTCTTGGTATACGAAGAGACAAGGCCGTTTAAATAATATTTCCTTTGCATTATCATATAAATTAATTTCTCTAGATAGGTGAAGAGCTAAGGCATTTAAAATATATAAAAAAATACTACCCTACGTATTATTAAGGTATGCATTTATAAAAAGCATAATAGAAACTAAAAACCATAATATAGGCGAAGAAATTGGTTCATCTATTTTTTTTTTTTTTTTGCAACATGTTAATTAATTTCTTTTGGTATTTGAAGAGGTCTAAATAATTCTTCTCTTTGCATTACCATATGAATTAATTTATTTTGGT